AATAAGTGCAGTGTGGTGCTGAGAAGAATGTATATTCTGTTGACTTGGGGTGGATATCAATAACTGTTTATAATGTACAAGACAGTAGTAATAGTCTTATTTTCCTGTCTATTAGGTCCACTTGGTCCAGAGCTGAGTTCAAGTCCTGAATATCCTTGCTAATTTTCTGTCTTATTGATCTGTCTAATATTGATAGTGGAGTGTTAAAGTCTCCCACTATGATTGTGTGGGAGTCTAAGTCTCTTTGTAAGTCTCTAAGAACTTGCTTTATGAATCTGGGTGCTCCTGTATTGGGTGCATATATATTTATCATAGTTAGCTCTTGTTGCATCGATCCCTCTACCATTATGTAAATGCCCTCCTTTGTCTTTTTTGATCTTTGTTGGTTTAAAGTCTGTTTTATCAGAGATTAGGATTGCAGTCCCTGGTTTTTTTTTTTTTTTTTTTTTTTTTTGCTTTCCATTTGCTTGGTAAATATTCCTCCATCCCCTTATTTTGAGCCTGTGTGTGTCTTTGCATGTGAGATGGGTCTCCTGAATACAGCACACTGATGGGTCTTGACTCTTTATCCATTTTGCCAGTCTGTGTCTTTTAATTGGGGCATTTAGCTTGTTTACATTTAAGGTTAATATTGCTATGAGTGAATTTGATCCTGTAATTATGATGCTAGCTGGTTATTTTGCCCATTAGTTGATGCAGCTTCTTCATAGTGTCAATGGTCTTTACAATTTGGTATGTTTTTGCAGTGGCTGGTACCGGTTTTTCCTTTCCATGTTTAGTGCTTCCTTCAGGAGTTCTTGTAAGACAGGCCTAGTGGTGACAAACTCTGTCAGCATTTGCTTGTCTGTAAAGGATTTTATTTCTCCTTTGCTTGTGAAGTGTAGTTTGTCTGGATATGAAATTCTGGGTTGAAAATTCTTTTCTTTAAGAATGTTGAATATTGGCTCTCCCCCCTTCTGGCTTGTAGGTTTTCTGCAGAGAGATCTGCTGTTAGTCTGATGGGCTTCCCTATCTGGGTAACTGACCTTTCTCTCTGGCAGCCCCTAACAGATTTTCCTTCATTTCGACCTTGGTGAATCTGAGGATTATGTGTCTTGAGGTTGTTCTTCTTCAGGAGTATCTTTGTGGCGTTCTCTGTATTTCCTGAATTTGAATGTTGGCCTGTCTTGCTAGGTTGGGGAAATTCTCCTGGATAATATCCTGAAGAGTGTTTTCCAACTTGGTTCCATTCTTCCCATCACTTTCAGGTACACCAATCAAATATAGGTTTGGTCTTTTCACATAGTCCCCTATTTCTTGGAGGCTTTGTTCATTCTCTTTCATTCTTTTTTCTCTAATCTTGTCTTCACGCTTTATTTCATTAAGTTGATCTTCAATCTCTAATACGCTTTCTTCTGTTTGATTGATTTGTCTGTTGATCCTTGTATAATGCTTCACGAAGTCTCGTGCTGTGTTTTTCAGCTCCATCAGGTCATTTATATTCTTCTTGAAACTGGTTATTCTAGTTAGCAATTCCTCTAACCTTTTTTCAAGGTTCTTAGCTTCCTTGCATTGGGTTAGAACATGCCCCCTTTAGCTTGGAGGAGTTTGTTATTACCCACCTTCTGAAGCCTGCTTCTGTCAATTCATCAAACTCATTCTCAGTCCAGTTTTGTTCCCTTGTGGGTAAGGAGTTGTGATGATCCTTTGGAGGAGAAGAGGCATTATAGTTTTTGGAATTTTCAGCCTTTTTGTTCTAGTTTTTCCTCATCTTTATGGTTTTTGATGTTGGTGACTTTCAGGTGGGGTTTCTGTGTGGATGTCCTTTTGGTTGGTGATGTTGGTCCTATTCTTTTCTGTTTGTTAGTTTTCATCCTAACAGGTCCCTCTGCTGCAGGTCTGCTGGAGTTTGCTGGAGGTCCACTCCAGACCCTGTTTTCCTGGATATCAGCAGCAGAGGCTGCAGAATAGCAAAGATTGCTGCTTATTCCTTCCTCTGGAAGCCTCATCCCAGAGGGGCACCTGCCAGAGGCCAGCCGGAGCTTTCCTATATGAGGTGTCTTGTTGACCCCTGCTGAGAGGTGTCTCCAGTCAAAAGGCACGGGGTTCAGGGACCCACTTGAGGAAGCAGTCTGTCCCTTAGCAGAGCTCAAGTGTTGTGCTGGGACATCCTCTGCTCTCTTCAGAATCGGCAGGCAGGAACATTTAAGTCTGCTGAAGCTGTGCCCACAGCCGCCCCTTCCCCCAGGTGCTCTGTCCCAGGGAGATGGGAGTTTTATCTATAAGCCCCTGACTGGGGCTGCTGCCTTTCTTTCAGAGATGCCCTGCCCAGAGAGGGGGAATCCAGAGAGGCAGTCTGGCTACAGTGGCCTTGCGGCACTGCAGTAGGCTCTGCCCACTTCGAACTTTGAGGGCAGCTTTGTTTACACTGTGAGGGGAAAACTGCCTATTCAAGCCTCAGTAATGGCAGATGCCCCTCCTCCTACCAAGCTCGAGTCCCAGGTCAACTTCAGACTGCTGTGCTGGTAGTGAGAATTTCAAGCCAGTGGATCTTAACTTGCTGGGCTTCATGGGGGTGGGATCTGCTGAGCAAGACCACTTAGCTTTCTGACATCAGCCCCCTTTTCAGGGGGGTGAATGGTTCTGTCTTGTTGGCATTCCAGGTGCCACTGGGGTATGAAAAAAAACTCCTGCTGTTAGTTCGGTGTCTGCCCAAGTGGCTGCTCAGTTTTGTGCTTAAAACCCAGGGCCCTGGTGGCATAGGCATCCGAGGGAATCTTCTGGTCTGTGGGTTATGAAGACTGTGGGAAAAGCATAGTGTTGGGGCCCGAATGCACTGCCCCTCATGGCATGGTCCCTCATGGCTTCCCTTGGCTAGGGGAGGGAGTTCCCTGACCCCTTGCGCTTCCCAGGTGAAGCAACACCCCACTCTGCTTCAGCTCATCCTCCATGGACTGCACCCACTGTCTACCAGTCCCAGTGAGATGAGCTGGGTACCTTAGTTGGAAATGCAGAAATCACCTGCTTTCTGCATTGATCTCGCTGGGAGCTGCAGACCAGAGCTGTTTCTATTTGGCCATCTTGCCAGCCACTCCAGGGTTTTCCTTTTCTACTGCATCATCAGGCCACAAATTTTCTGAACTTTTATACTCTTTCTCTTTTAAAATGGAATGCTTTTAACAGCATCCAAGTCACCATTTGAGTACTTTGCTGCTTAGAAGTTTCTTCTGCCAGATACCCTAAATCATCTATCTCAAGTTCAAAGATCCACAGATCTCTAGGGCAGTGGCAAAATGCTGCCAGTCTCTTTGCTAAAACATAACGAGTCACTTTTGCTCCAATTCCCAACAAGGTCCTCATCTCCATCTGAGACCACCTCTGCCTGGACCTTATTGTTCACATCACTGTCAGCATTTTTGTCAAAGCCATGCAACAAGTCTCTTGGAGGTTCCAAACTTTCCCACATTTTCCTGTCTTCTTCTGAGCCCACCAAACTGTTCCAGCCTCTACCTCTTACCCAGTTCCAAAGTTGCTTCCACATTTTTGGGTATCTTTTCAGTAACACCCCACCCCCGGTACCAATTTACTGTATTAGTCCCTTTTCATGCTGTGGATAAAGGCATGCCTGAAACTGGGAAAAAAAGGAGGTTTAATTTGACTTATAGTTCCACTGGGGAACTGATTCTGGGGAAGCCTCAGAATCATGGCAGGAGGAAAAAGGCACTTCTTACATGGTGGTAGCAAGTAAAAATGAGGAAGAAGCAAAGTGGAAACCCCTGATAAACCCATCAGATCTTGTGAGACTTATTCACTATATGAGAACAGTATAGGGGAAATGGTCCCCATGATTCAAATTATCTCCCACCAGGTCCCTCCCACAATGCATGGGAATTATGGGAGTACAAGTCAAGATGAGATTTGGGTGGGGACACAGAGCCAAACCATATCAATAACTGTTTATAATGTACAAGGCAGTAGTAATAGTCCCATTTTCCTGGTGAAGAGTATGACTTAGGTTTAGTACTTTCAAACCCAGTGCTTTGCCTTTCCCTCCTGTCACACTAAAGACTTCATTCATGCATGGAAGTCTTTTGAACACACTTAGCCAATGGCTTTGAGTTACTTACCTGCCCCTGCTTCTCTGATAGCCTAATTTGCAATGAGAAGGCAGATACTTCATTATTATTATTAGTTGGGATTAGAGATCTTTGACCAGTTGAGGGTCCTGGCAGAGTGAGCTCTCTTGGATCACCTGGGCCCTTAGAAATCTGATGGTGCTCAGGACTGGTAAGGGGCTCAGGCCCTGATGTCCCCTATGCCTCGCTTGGGGTCAGCAGAGAGCCAGGGGCCGGAACAGGTGAGGGGCAGCTTCCCAGGGTTGTATACATGCTGCCCCAGGCTCTGTCATTGCTCTGCGTAACTCCCCTCAATCATGGTGGTGGTGGTGATGAGAGTAATGATAATTGGAGCAGTGATAATCATAACCATTTGTGGCTGATGTGGTGGCTCACACCTGTAATCCCAGTGCTTTGGGAGGCTGAGGCTGGAGGATCACTTGAGTTTGAGGCCAGCCTTGCCAGCATAGCAAGACTCTGTCTCTACAAAAAAGAGAAAATAATAATAATCATTAGCTAGGTGTGGTGGCACACACCTGTAGTCCCAGCTACTAGGAGGCTGAGGTGGGAGGATTGCTGGAGCCCAGGCAGTTGAGGCTGCATTGAGCTGTGATCATGCCACTGCACTCCAGCCTGGGTGACAGTGAGACTTCATCTGTAAAAACAATAATCATAATAATAACCATTTAGTTAACAGTAACCATTAGAGAGTTTTTAAGGTGTGGGCATGGTGTTAAGCATGTAACATACTGTCTTTTTTGTAATTCTCATGACTGTGAAAAGTCACAGTTCTCTTTTCCAGATGAGAAAGTAATTTGTTCAAGATCACCCAGTCAGCAAATGGCAGGGTTGGAACCCCAGTGTCTGTGTGGGTAGTCATTTCTCCTGTTTTCTCTTTGGCTGCAGGAGACCAGGCGCCTGGATGAGATGAAGACAGCCATGCGGAAAGGCCACAACCTACTGAAGAAGAAAGAGGAGAAGCTGAATCAGCTGGAGTCTTCTCTTTGGGAAGAGGTGCAGCCCCATGGCCACATAGCCCAGTGTGGCCCCGGCCTTCCTCTTCTGTTCTTGGGATTGGGTTGGGTTCTTTGGTCCTACATCAGGGGGAGTTGGGCCTCTAGGGGCCAGGATTGGGCAGTAGGTTTGTCTGCTGGCTGATGACAGTGGCAGTGGCTTCAGTTCTGAGTTTGTTGAAGACACCTGTGGGTTTGGATACCTGTGCTAAACGGTCCTGAGTATACCTGGAACCTCTTGCTAAAGATGCCTGAGAAGAGGGCCTAGCCCTTATCCTGTCCTGGTCACTAAGGAGAGGTATGACTAGGGTGACTAGGGTGTCAGGAATGGACACACATGAGAGGTTTTCCTACCTGCCTTGGGACCTTGTGGACTTTCTGCTGGATGTCTGAGGCTTAGATGTAGCAAGGGGAGGCTTAGCTGGAGTCACACTGCAGGGAGAGCTTACTGGGAAGGGAGGTGTGGGTTTGTGTGGTCCTGATGGCACTGTTGCCTATGTCTCAGGCATTTGGGACATATGTTTAGCCTTGTCTCCCTCCTACCCTGCTGTGAGGCAGCCTGTGTGATTTGCCTCCCCCATGGTGTCTGGTGGAACTCTGAGCTCCAGAAGAGTCTACTCACCAAGTCCTCAGTCCCCACACATCACAAGGGTAACAGCCTATATGCTGCCTTGAATTCATAGCAACAGTGTTGCTAGGAGAACAAGTGGAGATGGCCGTGTTTCACAGGTTTGCATAAGAAAACCAGCTTAGAGACAAAACATACAGAGGAACCTAGCTCAGTGTCCTAGCCACTTCTAGGAAGGAAGGAGGAAGGGTGGAAAGCACGTGGTAGGGGTTGGTCATAACTGCTGCCTCTACCCAGCAGGCCTCAGATGAGGGCAGTCTGGGAGGAGCCCCCACCAAGAAGACGGTAACCTTTGACCTCAGTGACATGGACAGCCTGAGCAGTGAAAGTTCCGAATCTTGTTCCCTGCCTCACAGTGAGTGGTGTGGGCAGCAGAGGAGTGAGTCAGGGAGACATGGGGTGAGGACCATGGTATCCATGGAATGGGAGGAACTTTTGAAATGGAAGAAAGCCTCCTTCCCTCAGCCCTGCAGAGAGAGGCCTCTGTGAGCTGGTGTCTGGACTAGATGCTCAGTCAATGTTGGGAAGGAGCCAGGACATCTAGGTTTGCCGGCACATGGGGCTGAAAGGTCAGGGAAGCTTTCTGAATGCTGCAGAGCACTCTGCAGTGTGGCCCCTGGCCCTGCCCAGGGCCTCCTGGGGAGGGTATTCTCTCTCAGCTGCTCTGGCCTGCATGTGACAGAAGGGCCCTCTCCCCATCCTTCTCTCTGGGGTCCTGGGCCCCTCACCCAGGGCCTTGCCCTGGAAACCTGTTTCTCATGGCCAGCTTCTCACCTGCACTATCTGAAACACAGAAGCTGTGCCATTCCCTGACCCACTCATAAGGCTGAGGGGCTGTTGTCTGGAGAAGCAGGGAGGGGTGGCCAGTAGGGTGCTGCCCTGCCAGCTATGACTGGAGATGGTCCGGGGTCCTGAGCTTGAGTCCTTTGCCACCACCCACCTCTTTTCTTTCAGTTGCCTCAACTCCCAGTCTCACCTTCCGCAATATCTATGGGTTGAGCCACTCCCTCCGGCAGATCAGCAGCCAGCTGAGCAGTGTGCTTAGCATCCTGGATAGCCTCAACTCTCAGTCGCTGCCACCGCTCCTCACCTCAACGCCAGCCCACCTCCCTCCCCGGGCCTCCAAGAGCACCCCCACCACCACCTGCTACGGCTCCCTGGCCAGGTTCTCAGCCTCATCATCCACTACACCCACATCCACCCAGTGGGCCTGGGGTTCAGGGCAGGGTCCCAGGATAACCTCCTCTGTGGCTCAAACAGTGGATGACTTCCTGTTGGAGAAGTGGCGCAAGTATTTTCCATGTAAGCCCCACTCTGGGTGGAGCCTTCCCACATGCCTCCTCCTCCCCTTCCTTCTTTTCTTCTACCCTCTTTCTTCTGCTCCTTTTTTCCTCTTCTGCATCCCTTTGCCCTACCTCTCTGCCCCCAACGTTGCTGTAGTCCAGTCCATTGCTCCATTGACTCCACCTGTGGGTCCCTGGGGAAGGAGACATTTCGGGTGGCCCTGCAGCCAGAAGTTCTATAGGTCAGGATGGTTTAGATGGAACCTGGCTGACTGGGGGCCTTTATTATGGATTCTGGAGCTCAGCAGAACCTAAAAGATCATGTTGTCATTATCTTAATAGCTACCATCTTGTACAATACATCATGGGCCAAGCAGTTTACATATATTTTTTCATTTAGTTCTTGTAATAATTCTCTGAGGTAGTAATTATTTATCCCGATTTTGTAGATGGGGAAACTGAGTTTCAGAGAGGTTAAGTAGTATGTTCCAGAGTAACCAGTAAGTGAGTAACAAACTCAGTTGTGACTCCATGTCTCTATGACTCCAGGTTTCTGCTTGGAACCTCTTGGCTGTGTGGCCAATTCTTGCTTCTGAGCCAGGTGGCGTCTGCTGGTCTCAGCCCTGCTGAGGATTATGAAAAGCCGTAAAACACAGGCATTTGAGGGAAAACGAAATATCTTCTTTCTGCCCTAACCCAAATTGAAAAGTAGATTAAGTTTTAAAAATAAGTAGGACCATTCCTGTGTCTCATCTATCTCTGGCCTCCAGCCACCGAACCTTTTCCTTTTGTTGTTTATTCTGGGGAGGCAAGAGGTGCTGGTGAGCAGGGTGGTGGCTGCAGCCCATTTCTGAGCTGTGTCCCCATGCTCTTCCAGCTGGCATCCCGCTGCTCAGCAATAGCCCTGGCCCGCTGGAGAACAGGCTGGGTTACGTGTCTGCCAGGTGAGCCTCCCTGGGAGTGGTTGGGGTGGAACCTCAGTCGAGCTGCTCACTGCGCTTCCCTGGGCCAGTGGACCTCTAAGGGGAGCAGACCTCCTGATCTTACCTCAAGAAATCAGGCAGGGCTCTAGTTCACAGAGCTGTCACCACTTGCCTGGGTCTGAGGCGCCCTTTGCAGCCAAGGTCCCAGTGGGGAAGGGCTGGCCTTACCCCGCCAACCCCCTGTGGGGAGGAGACAGCCCCTGGTCGGACCCTGCCCCCACCCCTCCCTCTAGCCCCACCAACCCTGGAGGTCTGGCCTTTGTCTTTGCCCTTGAGCTCTTGTTTGCTTCCTGTGGCTCCCTTCTTCCCCAAGTCCTGCTGAGCAACATCTGGACTGAGAGGGACACCCTGTAGAGGAGACAGACGGGCAATTATTTAAACTGATTATTAATTTTCCATTCATTTTGTTCCTTGCCAAATGTATCCCCCCGCTTAGGCCCCTAACTGTGAAGTACCCCCCAACCATTCCTTTGGCCAACTTGAGAGCTGACACCGGCCAAGGATTGAGTTGACAGAGGGGAGCGCTTTGCTGATGAGATTGGCGGGAGCAGGCAGATGTGGGGGCCCAGAGCCTTGTATCAGTAGCACCCAGCAAGGGGGCAGAGGGCATCTACTGCCTTTCCTTTTGGGAACTGTTCTGGAGGGACAGCTGTTTTGAAGCTTTGAATTGCTAGAGGCCTTGGAAAAAACTGCCCTGGTAGCTGAGAGGTAGAGGGAGGAGGCTATAGATGTGATGGCCTCTGTGCATCCTCTGGCACTCCCATCCCCCATGCCTCCTGTCTCCCCACCCATGCTGTCTTCTTCCCTCCCAGTGAGCAGCTCCGGCTCCTACAGCACTCCCATTCCCAAGTCCCTGAGGTGGGCAGCACCACCTTTCAGGGCATAATTGAGGCGAACCGGAGGTGGCTGGACCATATCAAGAATGACCCCAAGTTGTATCCTTTTACCTGGTTCCCTGTGCTTGTGCCCTGAGGGGCTGAGGAGGGTCCTGTTCAGCCTTTGACCCTTTGTGGCCCCTGGCCATGCCCAGTGACTGCAGTTTTCCTTCACCATGTGGCCAGACATCTCTTCTCTTCAGCGCCCAAGCCAACAGCTACTTTGAGCCTCCTGCAACTGGGCCTGGATGAACACAACAGAGTGAAGGTGTTCCGATGCTGAGGCCCTGAGCAGAGGCTTGGGGCAGCCTGGCCTCTCCTCCACCCAGACCAAGTGCCTGAGGAGCTGCCTGTGTTCTTCCATCTGAGAAAGCGCTCTCCTGCCACCTTTGCTACTTGCCCCACTCAGGACTTGCAGGAGCCACCAGGGACCAGGGGGTTGAGTGGAACAGTAAAACCACACGCTCTATGACCACATAACCTATCTTGGGCTGAAATGTGTGGACTTGTACGAGCTCCTGTATTGACATGGGAAGATGATGGTGTGTGGTGGCTGCGGGGCATTAGGGCCGGGAGCCCTTTGGGAGGAAGGGAGGTGTTAGAGGAGCTGCCTTCGAGGCTCCGGGAGTCCCATTGGAGCTGGTCGGTTCCTTGGCCCTGCAGCGCACTGCTCTTGGCTCCCAGGAAGATTGTGTGTACGGTTCTTAGTTCATCAGGACAAAAACGCCCAGCATGTGTGTACCCTGGGACCTGGTTTCTCTGGGCCCACATCTATCTATAATACCTCAGCCTCAGAGCAGACCCTTTCTTTTTTTTCTTTCTTTTCTTTCTTAATTTTTAAACACCTCCTTTCTTGAGCATTCCATCTCTCTTGACTCTCTCAGGATTGGGCTCAGCTGTCTAGAGCCCTGCTGGAGGGTGCTGGGGGCTGTCCCTCTGCAGGCACTATGCTTTCCTCAGGGCCTGTCTTCAGCAGCACCCCTCCTGCTCCCTGGAACCATCCCAGCTAGAGTCTCGGGTCTCAAGCACAGCTTCTCCAGGAGGCCACAAAAGACCGGGCTGGCTTCTGATCCTCGTGACGGTTTTTATCTTCCTAGGATATGCTGAATAGATTCATGGGTGTTGTTTCCATCGTCTTTTCTACCTGTGCCACCCCTCCCCTGATTCCATGGCTGCCTCTTCTCAGGCAAGCAGGCAGGCGAGGGGCTAGGCTGGTGCCCGGCCCTGGCAGTGAGGGGTTTTGTGCAGTTGGACATGGTGCCGTTGCAGCAGAGTGTCCTGCAGCCCCGCTTCCCATCAGTGGGCTCTTGGGTGGGGGATTTGCAGGGGATGTTCTCTGACGTTTGTCCCATTGTTTAAATAAAATGCACCTATTTTCGTTTTTTTTTTTTTGAAAGCTGTGGGGTAGCCTTTGTCCCTCTAACAGACAGAAACTAACTTCTGCTGTCCTCCAACTCGTTTCTTGGTCATGGAATACGAAACTAAGATCCAACTTGCTGTTTATCTCCTCAGATGCTTTTTAGGCATCGGCCCACCACACAGAAAACTTCATTTCATCGTGTGGCTCATTCTGTGTGCTTTGGGAATAGCTCATGTGATGCAGCCAACTCTAGTGATAATGCTGGTTTTTTTCTGCATCAGTTAAATCTCTGCAGGTCCATTTTCTACAAGGCAGTCATGTAAATATGTCTCCTCCACTTTGGAGGCCTTTGCCTCCTTCTTGAGAAGCGAGGAAGGAAAAATGAATATTCATGGAACACTGCCCTATGTAGTATCTGATTTAATCATGACAACAATGTAGATATTGATGTAGATGTTTTCTGCTCCGTTTTTATGGTTTAGGGAATCGAATCTCAGATGCTGGGGTCCAGCCTGGGGTCCCCAGTAATGTAGCTGAGCTCCCTACATGTGCAGTGCCCCCACATTCCATCCCTGCACCCCCAGAGCACTGTCTTCCCCTCTACCAGTCCTTGGGAAATGCTGAATTTGCCATCTCTCCCTTTGCCCCTTTCGCTGCTCTCCTACCTACCAGCTGGAGAACCATCGTGCCATTTCCCAAAGGCTGATTGGTGTTTTCTCCCATGCAGACAAAGGTAAGATGAGTACCCCAAAGTCCCTAAGCTGGCAGTTAGCAGGATTTTTCCTGCTTCAGTGGTGTGAGCAGCCTAAATAGAGTCGGATTTGTAGCGACAGAATTGGTAGGAGAGCAGACCAAGATGGCCGCATTACATGGATTTGTGTAAGAAAACCAACCTGAGGACAAAACATGCAAGATACCCCAGTTCAGTGTCCTAGCCACTTTCTGGGGGAAAGGAGAAGGCAAGCTAACATTGGTTGAGTGCTTGCTTTGTGCCAGGTGCTTTTCATATGTTATTGTTTGTAATCTTAACCTTATGACGTCAGTGTTCTTATTTCATCCATGAGGCAACAGGCTCAAAGAGGTGAAATCACTATAGCCTAAGGTCATACAGCTCATGACCCAGTATTTGAACCCAGATCTCTGAAAGTCGAGATCTGTTAACCAGGCTCTGCTGTGTCAGCATCTCCTGTCCTCCTCCTGGCATGCAAAGTCCTGGCCAACTTGGTCTGAAGACCTGGGTTGCAAGGAATGGGTTGGCTTCTAGCTGGGGGAAAACCTTCTTGGGTTAGGGTTTACAAAGGGACTTTTGAGAAAGATTCCAAAATTGTCCCATCCCTCCTCTCATGGATTTTAGAAGGTAGCTGGGGAGACTAGAATCATAGATGTTTGGAGCTGAAAGGGATCATTTAGTCCGTTTAGATTGTAGTGACAGAATACCATCAACCAGGTAGCTCTTAAACAATTTCCCACAATTCTAGAGGCTGAAATTCCAAGATCAAGGTGTTGACAAATTTGGTGTCTGGTGAGGGGTTTCTAGTTCATAGAGGGCATCTTCTGCGTCCTCACCTAGTAGGATTCTTGGCTTCTTCAGCCCCTTCTAAGGGCACTAATCCCAGTCATGAGGGCTATACCTTCACATCCCAATCACCTCCCCAAAGGCCCCGTCTCCTCATGTCATCACATTGGGGATTGGGTTTCATCATAGGGATTGGGGTCCATAGCAGGGCTTTTTGGATTACTCATTCAATCCACTCGGGTTTTCCAGTAGAGGAAACCGCCTAGAGAGGATACATGAGGTGCTCCAAGTTGCAGTCACAGTGGCAGAGATGTTAATAGAACCAGTGTCCTAACTTCCTGGCCTGGGGCTTCAGAAAGAGGTATTTTTGTTTTTGTTTTCTTTAAAGAATATTCTTAGTAGACTGTATGTTCACATGACTCAATATTCAATAGTGCAAAAGTCACTCCATCCATGAGTTATCTTGTGCTCTCCCTTGAAGGTAAGAAATACTACCAGTTCTTTCTGGAGATTTTATGCAAATAAAAAGGCGGGACACTTAGGATTTCTTCCCGTTTACTGATGGAGTATGGGTCACTCCTAATGTAGGATCAGATGAATGATTGCCTGAAGCTCTCTTGTGAGTGGTTGATTGACTTTTTTCTTAAGGGAACAATGCTAGGAATGATGATAGTCTCTCCCCACTGACCCCTCCCACCTTCTTGCCCCTCTAATGGACTCCCACACGAAATAGCAGTATGAGGTGTGGGAAAATAATCTTGGCCTTAGTCCTGGGTTTACTTTTGACTCTGCCACCTACAAGCTGTCACCTGGACAAGTCCTGTGTCTTCCCTGGTGACAAACTCTAAGCCTGAACCCACACTCTGGGAACGAAGCAGGGTAGCGGCCTCTGCTTCAGCAACTCTAAGGGGTCTGCTTTGGGAGGGGAATTGGCTTCATCCAGAGGGCTGCTAGAAGGCCAAGACAGGGCTCCGGTGGTGAGGGGTGCTGAGAGGGAATTGCTGAATTCCACCACCAGCTTTTTGCTGGGAGGTGGGGAAGTGATGGGTAAAAAATGAAGTCCCTGCTGTCCTGATGAGTTGGAAAGTCCTCTTTCCCCTTTCCTCTTGCATCTCCTGCCTACTTCCCTGCCTGCCCTTCCATGGCACGTGCTCTCTCTAGCAGGTATGTCATGCAGCACACTGAGAGAAGGGGGGTGTCACACTTTTCCAGGATGGACTATCAGCCAAAGAAAGGCTTTTTAAAAAATTTGTTTGTTTATTTATGATAGAGTCTTGTTCTGCTGCCCAGGCAGGAGTGCAGTGGCCTGCTCACTGTAACCTCTGCCTGCTGGGTTCAGCGATTCTCCTGCCTCAGCCTTCCGAGTAGCTGGGATTACAGGCATATGCCACTATGGCCAACTAATTTTTTTGTATTTTTGGTAGAGATGGAGTTTCATCATGTTGGCCAGGCTGGCTTGAAATCCTGACCTTGTGATCCGCCCACCTTGGCCTCCCAAAGTGCTGGAATTACAGATGTTAGCCACCACGTCCGGCCTCTAGTTCTTTTTAGTTTGAAAACAATTCTCGCACTCTTATTTTCCCCTTCCAAGAAGCTGGTGGTTCACACAGGCCAGCACATGCATTATCAAAGACCTAGTTTGTTTCTAGTCAGTGAATTCATTGAAATGGGAGCCTTAATTTATTTGAGACATAACACAGCCACTCTCAAAGGAGAGAGGTGCTGGTGCCCTACTGTGATAAGCACTCCTCATATCACCCTAGGGTTGAGGAGATGGCAGACATTTGTAAATATGAGTCTTTGTAATTTAGAATCTACCAACATTTTCTATCAGGTGGGAGGAGAGGAAACGGCCACATACACACACCCCATGGTGCACTTAGCTCCGTTGTGGGTCAGAAAGTCCATGTCTTAACACCTAGTAGAACCCCAGCTCATATTACACTGTCCCCATCAAACTTATCACCCTGATTGTTGTCAGTGCTTTTAGAAGATGTAGTGGCATTTCTTCTAGAGATTGCCCAGCAGCCCTCAAAGTCCTGATCCTCCTTCCCTATGAGGCCCTACAAGTGCTCACTCCTGGAGATTTCAGTAGTTCCTTCTCTCCCTTTCCAGGGTCTCCCAGGCTAGTGTGACTGTTGAGAGGCTCCCAGCCATGCTCTCTGACTCTCAGGTTTGGGTTGGGATCCCAGCGCTCCTTGAAATCAAGCAGAGGGTGATGGGTTGCAGAGTATCTGTGGAGGTGCTGGTGCCTGAGAGCATAACAATAGAACAGGCTCCTGCACATAACCTTTGGGGTGGACCAGTGGCCCCACTTTGGAGGTGGGGGTTATGACAATATGGCCCCACAGGAAGGATCGCCACCCATCTTCCTTAGTTGGGTCAGATCAACTGATTAGTGTCCTTTCCCTTTTGATTTTTCTTGACAGAAACATATCACTTTCATCCATGTCTCAATTGTTTCCCCCAGGGCCTGACCTCTGATCAGATAGGGGGACTGGATATGGATCATTGGGATGATTGATCTGGAGCTGGGAGAGAGCTGCTGTTTAAGTCAGCTCAGCCATAGCCCTCCCCCTGGAAACCTTACTCTCTCCAGCAGCCTTCTCACTATTCAGGGAGGGCTCTTTGGTCTGTGATGGAATGGTTTGTGGATGGGCAGCACAGCTTGGGAGGGGGCTGCCCCCATTTCCAGGAAGCACAGATCCTCTCCCCGCTCTGGCAGGATGGGGTGCAGGTAGTGCTCTAGTTTTAAATATTCTAGGATGGGAGAGGTCGGTCTGCCTCATGGCTTTCGCTCTCTGGGGTAGAGCGGAGGATATTGGAGACATTTCTGATTGCTCCTGCTGAAGAGAGAGATACCTGTTCTTGGGAGGTCAGAAGCAGAGGGATAGTTTGAGTCTCACTCTCAGGGTTAAAAGCAGGGAGGCTATGAATCAAACAAGGATTTCCACATTATCCTTTATAAGGAGGGTTGTGAGGATGAAAGATGTTCTTAGAGCAGTGTTTGACACATAGTGAGCCCTCAATAGATGTGAGCTGTCGTTGTCATTGCCCTGGCAGGGAAGCCGGGAACCACAACGGAGATTCTGCAACCTGTGTGACTTCCCATGAGTAACAGCAAAAGTCTTGGACACAGAGGACATGACAGATGGCAAGGAAAATGCTGGCAGGGCCATTGTGTTCCTCTTCATGGCCAGTTGTGTGTGACAGGGAGAGAGGGAAGTGGAAAGTTTAGGCCCTGGGGCTGGCAGGCAGGAGTCAGAGCAGAGCCTGGTAGGCTTGAGAAAGTGCCCTGGGTTGGAGCACAAAATGGTCTCCTGGGGTTCCCCACGAAGAGCCAGTGCCTACCCAATGGGCCTTGGAGACTGAGAACATAGGCTCCACTGCTGTCTCTCTCCTAGTGACCTGTCCCCTTGTAGGGCCACTGCTGGCGCAGCTTAGGCACCTAGGCCTGGAAAGCGGCAAAGGTCAGGAGTGGAGCTGGGGCTCTCGTGGATTACCTGTTATGTTAGGCTGGCTTCAAGTCTTTATATCATGCCTCCAAAAGACCTGGGCTCAAGTTCTGACTCCCAGGCACTAGTGGAGTATCTTTGGGAAATGATCCTCTCCCTAGGCCTCAGTTTCCTTATTTGTATAATGGAGCAGAAAATACCACACACTGAGGGGGTGAATGAAATAACCTAGGACAAGTACTGTGGGTGAAGCACCTTGTAAACTCCAGAGCGCTGTGGAAATGCAAGTATTTATTGAACCTTTGCGTGAATGCCTCCAAGGACAAGGTGTT